GCTCCTAGGTCTCATGCAATGATCCATCAAGCTGGAGGGATGGGAGAGCATCGGCTTAATTTATGGGTGTTGTAATAAATATCAGTGTTTCAGAAAATTAAGTGCTGAGCGTGAATTCACCCCCAGCTAGGTGACCTGCCCCCTTTGTTATGTAGCTTGGTGAACATTGGGCCAAAAAAATAAAGATGGTAGGTCAACTTGCTCCATGGATCCTGCCTTAGATCTTCAGGCTTCTTTGTTCCCCCGTGCAGGGGCCTGGGGTGCAAAACTTGCCTGAAATCATGCATAGAGATGGAGTTTGGTCTCGTTCCAGACCTGAGGAGTGTGAGGACACCATTTGGACGAGGCTGGCTGCTCCGGCCTGCGAGCGAGTGTGGGGCTGGAGAGTACGTATATTACAGTCACGTGCCCTGCATCACACTGACGAGCATGGACGTTACACAAATGTCCTGAAGTGCAAAAGCAGCTGTAAGGCGGGCCGGTTGGTGCAATAACAGTGGATAGAGGCAGCTTTCTGGATCGCACTATTACCCTTGCTCTGTCTGTCTAACGCTGGCCTGGGGCGCCAATGAAGGATTATTAGTGTAACGAGGGTAGTTCATGAAGAGGTTTTGTGCTGACGGGAGCTATTACTGCCAAAGTTTATCAGGGGGCCATTTGGAAGTGGGAGGAGCACACCTACCTCTCGGCTTCCAAGTGCACGCATGCGGCTTTGGGCAATTTGCGTTGGAATTAGCGGCTTGGGAACGTCATTTCAAGCCTATTTTTGGATGTTGCTGCTGCCGCTGTAATTGAGCGTGCTCATTATTTATAGGCTGCCAAATTAAGCATTCATTTATTCTGTATTTGGGATAAATGGAATCAACAACGTGCTTTCTGGTGAAAGAGGCGCAGATGCAAACAGAAGCATTCACAGCTTTCAAGTCTTGTGTTTGTTTACATCAACGAGTATGGACTGTTAAAACAGCCTCCACCACTGATTATTTTCAATTAAAGCTTTAGGGATTTTAAAAGGAAGCTGTCACTATGCTATGATCCATGATATGATAGTCCTCGCGTGCGAATCCACTACCGAATTTAAAAACACAGTTACAGGATCTGTGCCAGATCAATTGGCAACCTGACCTAGGCACCTCTGCTTCTAGAAACCTGAGGCCCTTGTACACGATGTGTGTTGTTTAGATGTGTTTCGCTAGCTTAGTTGCGTGTGAAAATACACGTTGATTTTTGTTATCGTGGTTGGTTTCGGTTGATCGTGGCAAGTTAGACCACCTCCGACAGACATGTTTTATTTTTACCGTGGCCAACTGTTCCACCACGTTTAATTTTGTTGCAAAACTTCCATTAGGTGTATTCGCGCACACAGCTAAAATGGCCATTTCCCCTGTTCTGACACGGTTTGTCCATGAGGTGCCCTCTAGCGTTTTTTATTAATAATAATGCATTAACCAATTATGAGTGTTAAACACGTTACATGCAAAACGGTAATGGGAATCGTCGTGGTGCATTGTGAGACTGAAATAAGCCTAGAGATTATCTTTAGCTAGAACAAGCCAACATTGCATACAGGCGCCCCTGGGCTCCAGTCTTGTCTCTGCTGCTTGAGTTAGTCCTGTGCATTTGCTCTAGTCTTGGGGACTATCAATGGATGGGGGCAGCTAGTTTTGGAGGAAGCAGGAATGAGAGCACTCTTCTTAAGCATCCTCAAAGTATCTTTGGTCCTTAAAGTAACCCTCCCTGTGAAGAATGCATGCAAACCCAGCTTGCAATCCCCAAGCAATCTGTCTTTGTCCAGGGATAGCCTATCACTGGGAGCATCAGGCAGCATCTGGTTGAGTTGCGTCTACAGAAGTTGTGCAGCATGAGGAAGAGAGGACTGAGGGTCAGGGTACAACAGGCTGTGGTAGGTTAGGATTGAGGTTGGTCCCAGCAGCATGGTGGTTCAAGGTCAAAATAGCAAGGGCTGATGGAGCTCAGGAAAGAGATTCAGCGACATAACTAGTTGCAGTAGTTGGACGTCATTGGCCCTAGCCAAACTGTTAGTCCCTTCGCTTTCATAAACACCAAAATCTACAGATGATTAGATGTGATGTCTTTTATTAGACCAACTGAGTAGTTGGAGCCAAGAACTTTTTTCCAACTACTTGGATCTAATAAAAAATATCACTTCTACTCAAAGAACCTCGCCAGCCTATGTCCTTAGACCAACACAGCTACAACCAGAAACCCAGCAAAATGTACATATGAATTTTAGAGCAGAGAGAGAGTATAAACTATTTCCTTGAGCAATGAATGACAGGTTTTGTTTGAGCTAATATGTATCCAGGAGAGAGAGATTGTTTTTCATTCTCCTCTTCACTGTTAATTTTTTTAAAATCCCATAAATCTCTCTTAGATCCCACGCCACAGACACTTCAGGCGTTAAATGGTTTGTGCATTTATTTTTTAAGGCAATAAGACGGAGTCAGTTACTCCCGTAAAGAAGTCCTTGTAATGTTCAGCAGATAGTGTTTTTACTCCTTGCACACATTTATTTATTCTAGTTATTTAGGCAAATGGCTTTGATTTCCCTAAGTAATGTTAGCTTTAGTGAATCTAAATGAGAAGTTTTGAGTGGTATCTCCCATTGCTCCAGTAGATTTATGCTGCCGTAGTTCCTGAGTGTAGATATGGGGTTGGTATAGGATTTTTCTGCCTTCCTCTTTCCCCAAGATACAAGCCATAGACAGCAGATACGTGTTTACTGACTTAGTTCAGTGCTTAACATGATATACTTTAGTAACTCCACCCGGGAGTAACCTATGGTAAATATAGACTATTCATCTATCTTCTCAGGCACCAGTAGCTGCAACGGGAAGAGAGGGATGAATCGTGAATCCCTTGGGACAGACCCTGTGGACTAGAAAGCTGTATAGTACCCATGCATGTCTGAGAAATGAGCTGGGTGCCATTAGCACAGGGACTGTGTAGTGAAGACAGATGAAGCAGGCACAGGACCAATGATGTGTTGATGTCAATGGAAGGACTGGAGCTTGCATCAGATTTGTCTTGCTGCAGGACCCTTTATTTCTACCTTACATTTCCACGTGTGCTTTTAAGAGTTGCTTTCTTGTTTGGCTCAGATCACAGAGCAAGCACCAGATAAGCCTGGCTTGGCACCTTGGATAAACTAGGCCAGAATCCACAAGGTTTGGGGTCATCAGAAGCCCTATTAAAAAGAGAAAAAAAACAATCCCAGCCCACTTCTGAGTTCACGTTGCACCCTGCGTTAGTCTGGTGGGTTGTGTGAATTGAGTTGGTGGCCATTCAATCAGCTGAGCAAACAAATGCCACCAGCACAGGACGGGCTCGATTGGCAGTGAACGCCCCCTGCCTCGCCAGACTCCAAACCATAGTATGCAACCCGTCACCAAAAACAGCCTTGGTACCAGAAGACTGGAGAACTGCCAATGAGACTCCCATATTTAAAAAAGACCCAGGATACTACAGGCTGGTCTTCTGTTCCTGGAAAACTGGTGGAAACAATAATACTAAAAAGATTTGTTCAGAATATGGATGAACATGACTTGTTGGGAAGGAATTAATACAGTTTTGCCAATGGGAAATTGTGCCTCACTAACTTACTTCGGTCACAAACTGCTGGAAGACTGTTTTAGACTTGACATAAGGAAAAACTACTTTACTGTTTGAGTCTCCAGAGTCTGGACAGACTCCCCACAGAAGTGGTGCAAGCACCTACTCTGGACATGTTCAAGAAGTGTTTGGATGAATATCTTGCTGGGGTGATCTGACCCCAGCTGACTTCCTGCCCTTTGGGCGGGGGGGCTGGACCTGATGATCTTGCGAGGTCCCTTCCAGCCTAATGTCTATGAAATACTAGAGTTCATGGACGGCGTCAATAAGCAGGTGGACGGGGTGATCCAGGTGACGTAGTATATCTGGACTTCCAAAAAGCCTTTGACAAGGTCTCCCATTAGAGGCTTTTTTAGAAGTTAGGTAGTCATGGGATTACAAGGAAGGTCCATTCATGAAGTAGAAATGGGCTGAAAGATAGAAAACAGAGCGAGTATAAAACAATCTCTGGGATGGATAGAACTAAACAGCAGGGTCCTCCAGGGATCTGTATTGAGACCAGTCCTATTACCATCTTCATAAATGACCTAGGAAAGAGGGTGAGGAAGGAGATGGCCAAATTTGCAGATGACAAAATTATTCAAAGTGGTAAAGACCAAAGCAGACTATGAGTAGCTACAAAAGTATCTGGCATGATTGAGTGAATGGGCAACTATATGGAAGATGAAATTCAGTGTAAAGTAATGCACGTGGGCACAAATAACCCAAACTATACCTACACTATGATGGGCTCTATTTTAGCAGTTACTAGGCAGCAGAGAGATCTGGGAGTCGCTGTGGATGGTTTGCTAAAAAGATCAATTTAGGGCTTGGCAGCCATCAAAAAGATGAACAAAATGTGTAGGAATTAAGAGGGAAACAAAATGGGGAAGTATCATTGTGCCCCTTTATAAATCCATGGTGCATCCGCACCTTGAATGTTGTGTCTAGTTTTGCTCTCCGCACCTCGAACAAGGATATAGAAGAACTAGAGAAGATACAAAGAAGAGCAACAAGGATGATTTAGTCTCTTCTTATGAAAGTCCCTCTGTACCACTAAGGAGGCCAGGCCTGTTCAGTCTAGAAAAGACATGCTTGACAGGGGACATAAGGGTTTGCAAAACACTAAATGGTGAAAAGAAAATAAATAGGGATTTATTTTTTACTTTCACAATTCAAGAGGCAGGGGGTCATAAAATGAAGCTAGTAGGCAAAGTCAAGTCGGTCCCGAGGCTGCTGCGACTGTTGGGGCACCTGAGATGCTGTAACAACCTGCCTCCCCTCGGCCCTGTCTTTGGCTAGCTTTGTTCACATGATATACTTAACATGATAAGGGATTGGAGACCTCCTTGGAGGGAAGGGGCTTCAGGAGCTATCGGACATAGGAGCAAGGGGCACGGCCTCCGAATCATAACTTCCTAGATCTGAAATGCTGGAGGCTGCAAGGGGGAGAGGAACAGGATGGGGAAAGACCAGTTCATTCTCACTTTCAGCATCCACTGGCTGACCAATGTGACACAGGAGGCTGGGCAAGATGGAGCTATGGCCTGACTTTGTGAATGGCAGTTCTTATGTTGTGCTCCTGATGGTGTGAGATGTGTATTGGTTGAATTATCCAGTGTGCAGCTCTTCTGGCTGGAGGGTTTGGGGGCGTTGTATTGCACACCTGACACATGGCTGAGCAACTTGGGCCAGGGGCTGCTGAAGAAGGGGGAATTTTGCAGGGCAATACCCAGCAAAACAATGCATCTTACTGTGCAAGTGGGACCTTTGTAGCAAAAAAAAAGGCTTGTTCCTCTTGCACTGGGCTGTTTCCTACTGACGGTGCAAAGTAGCCACATATGTCCAATCATGCATTGTTGAACACACTGCTGGCTGGTGTTCACATAACACTATGATGGGGATAGAATAGAATAGGGTAGTAAATACAGATGGGCACCTGGAAAGGAAATGCATTTGCCTCTTGCTTTTCTTAATAGGTGGCATTAACTAAACAGACAACCCAGCTCATTTTATGTGACTCCTACTTGGCACATAAAGAGAGTGATGCATGGGGTTTTGCTCTTGACAGAGTCAAGTGGTAGCAAAAAAGGAAGAAAAGAAGAAAAATGCTGTCCATTTGCATTGTTCACCATGAACTCACTTTACAGCTCTGCTATGGCTATCGTTTTCCCTTTGGAGGAAATAGGAACAGATTAATTTCTCCAGCTGTGTAGATTGCAGAGTGGTACCAGGAGTTTTATGTCCAAAGTTTAATGCAGTAATCAGTCTTTTTTAAGGGACGATCAGCAATAAACAGCATGCATTTTGGGAAGAAAGGCGCCCTACTATGAACTACAGTAGAGTAGTTGTGATGGGTTGGCTGGAACATTGTTAAAATGCTTAATATTGTTTTGAAAGTTAACAAAAGCTTTATCCTGTCTCAGGATTAATCTCCCCTCCACTGAGACCAGCTATTTTCATCAGATAGAAATTACCCCTCTGGGTCTTTTCTTCATTTAAAACCCCTTCCTGCAGGGAAGACTCCCACAGCTTTTTGAACCAGTGTAATTATGCAAGGCGCACAGCCCTGGGCAGTTTTCTCCTCTCGGAGATGACTAGCAGTAGAGGGCTGAAGCGTGATACTCCCCAGTGTGGCCCATGGCCCCAGTTCTCTGCAGTTTGGCTCATGGCAGCTGCAGCAACACCAGAGTAACATATCCTTCCCCCTTGAATGCTGCAACCTCCCTTTCTCTGGTCTAACCCAACACAGGCCCATGCAGAACTGAGTTGTGGGAAGAGGTGGCTTTCTTGGACTGGCCTCCTGTCTGCGTCTCCCATCCCTTTCCCAGTTCCCCTTTCTTTGCAACATCAGACCTAAGCTACTTGGCTTGCTCTCAAGGCCTTCCATGCTCTAACTCCCTCCTTTCCCCTCTGCATTGAAGACTGAGAGATCAGCTCCTGCCTGCACTCGGCACAGGGTGCCCTTCTCCACTGTCTGCTTGCTAACTCTCTTTTTAAAGCAAGTGCCAGCGTGCTTTCCTGCACGCTGTGCATCCCACTTAAATGGCTGCACAAGGCCATTTCATTGTTCTCCTCCAGGCTCTTTCTTATCACAATACCCATGAAAAAACTTGACAGAGGTGAGGCTCCTGATTGTACCAAGACCACTGCCCATCAGTATAAATCCCCCCAGTCTGTCCGCCTGCATCTGCAGTCTCTTATCTTCTATTGTACACTCTTGGAGCAGAAACCCTCTTTTTGTTCTGTATATGTGTACAGCACACGGTGGGTCCTGGTCCAGGATGCAGTGCACTGGGGGGACCCGGATGCTACGGCAATAAACTTGAGTAATTATACTTCTAACATTGCTGCAGAATGGTACCTAGATCTGGGTGGAGCACTGAATGGTGGGATTGGTGGTCTCCTTGAAGCAGTATCCAGGCTATAAAATGGCTTCACCTGCCATGCATGAGAAGCGAGCACAGGAGAGCATGTTGAAGGGATGGGCATAGACCAGCTGTGCGTTCCAGGAGAAGAGCCTCATTGTAGGGTTATTTCCATCATTACCCTGACTGCATGCACAAATGTTCCCACAGACATGGTCAGCACAGTTAAAAGGCATGTGTTGCACTACCATTGCACACCTGCAACCTCTAAGCACATGGTTGGTGCAATGATCTTTACTCCCCAGGGCTGCTGGTCTTATTTTTGGGAAGCCATGGTGATATTTAATTCTTGGAAGTCACAAACAACATTTTGAAGGCTGATAAGGGCTAGATTGAGGAAAGGGAAATAATCCATGGGGCATGAGAGAGCTGATGCTTTATTCTTGGTACCTAGACGTTTATTCCATTTGTATTTAGTCCAGGAGGGTGGTTGTGGCTGCTTCTCTTGGCTTGTGTTAAGGTACTGCCCTCAACTCCTTCGGCAGAGTAGATCCTATTGTGCTACACCCTGAATACACCCATCCAGAAGTGATCAGCCTGCCCTAGAAACCTGAATCTAGTTTCAAATTTAGCTTAATTTTAGGGGATAGAGGAAAGAAAAATATTTAACGTTATATGTATGTCTCAATTAACTACGGCTGAGTACCTTATTCACAGGGAATACTTAACTGATGAATTTAATGGATCGTTTTTTCCCCCTGCTCACAAAACATCCCAGAATAGTTTCCAGTAGCAGAATCTGTTTAAAAATGGCAATGTATTCGACTAGGATTTTTAATGAGTTGACTGCTGAGCCATCAGTGCAGGAAGGTGGCAGTGGAGCTGTGTTGGCTAGTTGTAATCTGTCTGCTGGTTGCATCTGCAGGATTAAAACGGAGCAAGAAAGATGAGGGTCTGAGAAGCGCTCTCTTGTTGGGGGGAAGTTAGGATCCACAGGAGAGAGAATTCCCCCAAATTAGGGAATTTTAAAAATATTTTAAAACTTTCTCTTCCTGGGCCACTGACTTCATTCCCATTCCGGTTGCAATTTTTTTTGTTTTGACCATGGGAACAGGTAATTGTATTGATGGGAACTATTATTTGGATTTAATCACTGGTTTAACCAAGTCAGTTGCTCTGTTAGGGTTGTACTCGAGCACTTGGGTAAGGCCTGTATTTTTTAACTCAATGTAATAGCTGCCTTCTACAAGTGAAATTTCTCCCTCTGGGTCCTGGCAGTCCTTTTCTCTCCTAAATCCAGTGATGATGTTAAGCCAGCGGCTAAACAAATACAACCTGCCTGTTCTCTGACTGCCACACTACCCCTTCGGAGGAAATTTTTATTAATCGCATCAAAACTCCCATGTAGAGAAGTGCTGTAGCTGCAAATGCACAGAGAGGACCACTGGCTGATTCTCAGCTGTTGAGCTAAGCATCACTTTTCTATACAGGGGAAATTGTACCACCTTCTCATAGGGAATATGCAGATAATTTTTTGCTTTTTTCTTGTTTTGTTTTAAAGCAAAATACCCTTATTGGGATTAGATACTAGCTGTTGGCTCAACCCATCTGTCTTTGTTGATGTTGCTTTTTCTGTTGCATCTACCAAACACACAAACACCTCTTGTTTGCTTGCAGCCAGACAGATGCGATGTGTACACCTACTGCCTTAATTATTGGAGTGTTTTGCATACATCCATTTGTGGCACTGAATTGTAAACAGAGCAGACGCTTAATGCCAGTGGTGAACATATAGGGAACTGCCTGTTTGCTGCAGGCTCACATGCCCTGGCTTGGGATTCCCTCTGGTAGGTCAGATTTTGGTGCCACTGAAGTCCATAAGAACTTTTTTGGTTGTTGACTTCCCCGGGACCAGGGTTTCAAAAAGCAGGGCAGTGACAATGGAGGGAGAGCTGGGAGGGGGCAGCGGTAGCAAATCCTGTTTTGGGAACTGGGAGCTTCTGGGAAAGATGGGACATCTGGGTTTGGGGGCTGTAAAAGCAACATGTTGAAATGCCAGTTCTTGGTCTGCAGGCTGCTTGTGTTCGGAGGCCATCGGAAGCAATTCCTCTGTGCACTGCAGCACACCTAGGACAGGACGAATGTCACCTCTAAGTGAGGGAGGCCACTTGACCGTCAGGTGGAGATGTAAGCTCTGGCTTTGTCCCCTTTCCATAAAGCTGAGCTTTAACAGCTGGAGTCTCAGAGCAAAGTGAAGGGGTCAGGGGAGGAATGACCAAGCCCCTAACCACCCCTTGCTGTATTGGCTTAACACGAGGACAAGAGAAAGTAGGGCATCGTGCAGATTTGAATGTGCTGCTATCAGGATTGCTATCCTTTCCGAGTCCTGGGGCTCAGCTAGATTGGTTAATGAATGCTGTTTCTCACGTAGGCAGACAAGGCTCTTTGGGTGGATGTGATATCTTTTACTAGACCAACTCAATAGTTGGAAAAAGTTGTTCTTTGCAGGCTTTTGGGCACAAACACTCTTCATCAGGCATAGGGAGAGTTTGCAGGTGTTTTGTGTTCTCCTGGGTAGAATAGAAGCCAAAATGTAAAACGCAGGCCTGTGAAAATGCAAATGCGTGGCAGTGAGGATCAGAGGGGATGGGAGACAGGTAGGTGGAGGAGGAATGGTGACCTGGTGATGGAGTGCAGCTGGTAAAATGTAGAGAGGTTACCTGGGGTTATCGGATGGCAGGCAGGTTATAACGTGCCATAAATCCAATGTCTGTATTTAGTCCATGATTTTTCGTATCCAGTAGGTTTACAAAGTGAAGTTCGTAGGCTTGTCTATGAAAGGTGTTTTGTAAATTCCCTTTGAGGATTAGAACTGAGCAATTGGAGAGAGAGTGGTTGTCTTGTGAGACCTGGGCACCCACAGGTCGTTGGGTATTTTTGTCTTCGATAGATTTTCGGTGTGCGGTCATTCTGGTACGCAGTTGTTGTTTGGTTTCTCCGACGTATTTTCTATCGGGGCATTCAGTGCACTAGGTGAGACCATATTACATTTCTGGAGGTGCAAGTGTAAGATCCAGGGATGGGGATGGTTTTGTTGTGGGG